GCACTATTGCTTGGGTCTCGTGTTGGAAGGAAATTAGGCTTAAAAGACGGATCACAAGGTTTTCTTGTTACTCTGCTATCTATACCCTGTCATAGTGTTCTATGTAGACTGAAATGTGGACGCTCCTGTAGAAGTACATGTCTCAAGCGCAATGGAAGATTAGAAAGGTGCTGATTACCGTACACTGTTCTGTGTGAGAAGAACACACACCCTCATTAGTCCCATCACACCTACCTCCTCCGGCTTTCTCAGCGATACGTACCGATAGATGATGTAATGCACGCATCGTGAGTTTGTGGTATTTCTCTAGCGACATTCCGCTGACCGATAACTGGACACCACTCTAACTGTATCTATCATCACCCCATCTTTACTAAGCTTTATTACCCCTTCTATCTAGGTAGTCTTCACGTACATTTAGAGAAGCTTGACTAGTTACTGTGTAACATGCTCAACCCCGTAATCTAACGGTACGCCACGCATTGCTTCGTTGCCTCGCCGTCGCCCTTGGTACACATGCTCGGCAATTTAGGATGGCGCTACGCCTGCTGGGTTGGTGAGGGGTGTAAAGAAAGCCGAGCTGCTGATTGTTAGATAGCACTAGTTCTTTTGCTTGCATTCATCCAGGGTCAAGGTTCAAGGTGTGGTTGGTCTCGCAATGATGTGGAAGCCCGTATTGACCGTTTCGTGCTGACGATCACCGCCACCGCTTCGTAATGCCTTTGCTTGTTCTGAAGAGAACGCATTAACTTCGATGGCTAGTTGGGCCTGTAATAGCGTATGGAAATCGTCCTGTCAATGGGCTCGGCCGTGTCTTCTCACGCCAACCTAGGAATAAAATGAACAGCCTAGAGCCTACGTTAACGTTAGATTACCTACTTTGCAAGTTTTTAGCCTAATGTAGCATGTAGACCTGTTTAGTTTTTTTCTTGTATAAGGTGTTCTTCGATAGAACCCTAGTGGTGTTGACTGGTGGCCGTAATGTGGAAAGACGGGGGCTAGAGCGGGGGTTACAGCTCCATCTAGTCGGCGATCTCGTATCTGAGTTCCTGTTTCTGCGAGATGCTAAGACATGGCGTTGGATTGCTAAGCTTTACGTTATGACCACTTTGTGAAGCGCCTGTGGGAGGAAAGTGACGCTATACTAGAGGCTTTCCAAAGCGTTGGGGATATTAGATTAGACTACACAACTGTTCTGAATCTACCCTTGCTTCAATCTGCGATGGCTACTGGGCACAGAGCCCCATATGTATACCATCCACTAGCAGAGCTTTATCGGACGCCTATCGCCAAACAGTTCCATAGTCGTTCTTCGTGGGTATCGGTCATCGTCCGCAGTTATCCCTGGGTGGCTTCCTTCTGTTTCCGGGCTTCGTCCTCCTCAGGCGTTCGAGTGATGAGTTGCAGCGCGTGTATACCGCCTTCTTGTGCCAACTCGTCCTTCATCAAGGAGTTGATCATGCGATGCCGTGCGAGCTGCATCTTGCCTTGGAAGGCTGGCGATGTGATGAAAACACTGCGAGCGTCAGGAACATAAGTCACGTAGTTGAGAAGATTGCAGGTCGATGAATACCGGAAGTGTGTCTCTCTGCTGGTGACTCCTTGCATAGCTTTGTGGTGGGCATGCTTATTCGAGTCGTTGAATATCTCGAGTGAAGTCGGCTTCAGGGCTTCTGTGATCTACGGAAACTTTAGATGCGATACTGGGTACACAGTCGAGGCATGTCAACCAAAGTGCATAACTACCTTCGTCCTCAGAGCATCTTCCATTGGTGTCATGGACTGAGCCATGGCTGACATGAAACGCTTTCCAGCGAGCGCGATATTTGGAAGGAACATTCACCACAATGCTTCCTAGTCGGGTAGGGTGTCAAGTAGGGCCAATGAGAATACTGGATCGCAGTGGTGGAAGTATTGGGTTGCGTCGGCCCTAGAATTCGTGCCGAGGCAAGCGCCAAGACGAAATCGGAAGGCGTCGCGTCATGGTTCCGAAAGTTTGAAGCGCAGTCAGACGAGCCATTGAGGCCATGAGACTGCCAGAGCATGCTTGGAAAGATGATGGTGACATGTAGAATGGCGTCTTGATTACCGTACTTTTATAATTAAATGGCAACTTTTGCGCTCCTGTCTGGAGACGGCAGTAACGGTATCGCTCCGACGCGGCTCTAAACACAGCATATCTCGCACCGATCTGCCGTACTCCGAAGCCTCGAAACCTGCATCAATTGCGCTGATCCGGGACATCTCCCTGCCGCCATGTGGGCGCGTAATCTTTTCGCTCGCACCCTGACACGACACAAAATATCTCTGCCGGCATACAACAGCCATTCGCCCTTCTATACCGTGAGAATGGCATCCACGCTGCCCCGCCTCCCCGTCTTCGAAGCCATCAAGAAGCATGATGCGCAGAGCACGGCCGTCGTCCACTCTCTTTCCGGGCGGTCCTTCACGTACGGCGAGCTCGTAAACGATGTCGCTGCTGCAAAGGACAAGCTGCAACGGAACTGCGGCGGGCAGAGCGCTGAGGGCCAACGGATATCCTTTCTGGTAGAAAACGGATACGACTATGTAGGTGCGCGTTCCTCTACGCCTCGTGTACAACAGCAAAGGCAGCAGAATCTGACGCATACACAGTAACCCTCTTGTCCATCCTCGCCGCACATGCAATCGCCGTACCGCTATCGCCGACCTTTCCGGCACACGAGCTGCGATACATCATCGACCAGAGCGAGTCTTTGATGCTTCTCTCGTCGGAGAAGTTCCAGAGTCAAGCCGACGATGTGCTGAAGGAGGGAATGGAGACGCAGCCCATCAACTACAAACAGGACAAGATTATGATGGGCAAGACGGACGACTACGTCACGCTGGAGGAGCCCACCAGCGACAAGGGAGGCATGATGCTGTACACATCGGGCACTACAAACCGACCCAAGGGTGTTTTGTTGCCTCAAGACGTGCTAACGGCACAGTCGCGATCGCTGCTGGAGGCGTGGAACTATAGTAAAGACGATGTGCTATTACACGTTCTGCCTTTACACCACATCCACGGCACCGTCAACGCATTGCTTACGCCTCTCTTCGCCGGCAGCACCATCGAGTTCCAGTTCCCCTTCAATGCTGCCGCTGTATGGGACCGACTGGCAGCTCCCTTCCTACCGAGCCCCGATCCAGCCAAGAAGCCCATTACCTTCCTTACCGTCGTCCCAACCATATACACGCGCTTACTCGCATCGCATCCTACCCTCTCGTCCGAACTTCAAGCCGCGACCAAGACCGCGCTTCACCCATCGAATATGCGCCTCAACATCTCAGGGTCCGCTGCCCTACCTACACCGGTGAAGTCATCGTGGACGGAGCTCAGCGGGGGCAACGTGCTGCTCGAGCGATATGGCATGACTGAGGTGGGTATGGCACTTTCCTGCGGATTGGAGTTCGCAGACCGCGTAGATGGCTCGGTAGGCTGGCCGCTTCCATCAGTACAGGCGCGTTTAGCAGACATTGAGACCGGGGAAATCATAGAAAAGGGCAAAGAAATCGATCCCGAGACACAACGCGAACGCCAGGGCGAGATCCAACTGCGCGGTCCTACAATTTTTAGAGAATACTGGAAGAACCCCGAAGCCACCTCGAAAGAGTTTACAGACGATGCAGATGGACAAGGGAAATGGTTCAAGACAGGCGATGTCGCTGTTCGAAGGAATGTCAAAGGAGCAGGCGAGAGCGACCAGGCATGGGCCAAGGGACCTCTTTACTTCATCCACGGGCGCAAATCAGCCGATATCATAAAGACCGGCGGCGAGAAGGTTTCTGCCCTCGAGATCGAACGCGAGATGCTTTCCCTCCCTCAAGTCGATGAAGTTGCCGTTGTCGGTCTACCATCAGAAGCCTGGGGTCAGAAAGTCGCTGCCGTAGTGGTACTCTCCGAACAGGGTAAGACAGCAGGGAAGGGAGGCAAAGCATGGTCTGCGTTGGACATGAGGAGGGCGCTTAAGGAGATGCTCGCAAACTACAAGATCCCTCAAGAGATGAAGGTCGTGGATACTATCCCAAGGAACGCAATGGGCAAGATCAACAAGAAGCAGCTTGTCAAGCAAATCTGGGGCGAAGCATTGGAGGGGACCAAGGAGAATGGTGCTATACAGGTACCCAGTGGAAGTGTGTAGTAATGTGTAGATAGTAATAGTGTAACATCTCCAATCATAAGCAAATACTGTGTTGACAAGAAAAGGGCTATGATCCAGAGATTAGACAACTTTAGCAGCCTTAGAAGCCCCTCACCTTGATCACTATACTCCGCAAGATGAGCGCAACAACGCCAAGACGGCAAAGCCACACCCGTCATACTGTGAACGGTCCATTCCCCGGGTATGCATACACCCTTTCCCCGCCCACACGGAAGCAATCATCGTAACTTGCATGAGCGCAGCGTCAGAGGAATCCCACAGCGCCTCTGACCTCAGCCCAGAAAGGAGGCTTGGGGTGGAAAATGCTTATACATCGTGGCCTCACGCCACGCCAAGACAAGCCACAACTGCCATGCCGTGACGTGTGCCATGCCTCTTAGTAGCAAGCCGTTGGCGCCTGCAGCGGAGGAATCGACCGATGGCTCAAGGCAAGTAGGTTTATTGGAAGATCTGCAATGCGGGAGATGATTGTGATGTAGACTCCGGCTGTGCGAAGAGTGCAGGTCATAATGTGGGCAGGAATTGGGGTATGGGGAAGGATAATTGGGAAAGGGGAGACGCGAGTATGGATTAGACGGCAATGCATCGCATCGCGACATTGTGTTCAGACTATTCAATAGTGGGTATTCGAAATGGTATTAAAAAGAATACATGTTTGTCACGGGCGATACACGTGATTTACGCGTATCTGATCCCATGCGGTGGTCATCAACTTCGGCGCATTCAATGCTGATCCATGATAACATATTCCCGTGTTATCATCCCCATGCATCAAACATCGACTCGTGGGTATGATAGTGCATTCTATGCACTGCCTTATGCGGTGTGGCCAGCATCGGCACGGGCAGCCGAGTTGTCGACCTTGTTGCGACGCTCGCGGCCCTTCTCAGACCAGGGGAAATGAGCAACGGGGATGACGAAGAAGCTGTAGAATATTAGTACGGATTGAGACGATGATAATGGCATTGAGTACTAACCTGTTTGAGCTGTCCGCGATACCAGCCAGAGCGTTGTACCAGGCGATGAAAGCAGCCATAAGACCAAAAGCACCACCAGCGACGATGCAGTCACTTTGTGGGCCCGCAGCATCAGCATTGAGGTAGCCAATTCCGAGAAGGAGGAAAGCCATGTCGAGAGTGAAGAAGAGCGAGAAGAAGGCTATGGTGGATCGGAGGGTGCAGATCAACAAGAGGAAGGTAAAGATGAACCAGCCCATGAGGAAAAGACCGAAAGAGTTGTAGAAGTCGCCCGATTCAAGGAGCGTCTCCTCAATCGCGAATCCACCTGGTGTAAGGATGATGGCGAAAGAGATCCAGAAACCTCCGTAGGATGAAAGCGCGGTGGCACCAAATGTATTTCCGACAGCCATTTCCCTAGTCTTCTGTTAGGACGAGCATGGACAAATTGACTGGTAATACATACCACATGCCAGCCAACAGCTGCACGAGACCTCCATAACCGTACGCAGCAGCCACGACAATGTTTGGGTGACCAATGCCTCGGGTCTTGACGTTGATCAAAGACAGAACAAAGGTGGTGAGGGCGAAAGCCGACAGACCCAGAGGGGCTGGGTTGGCGAACTTGCGGTTCGGCGGCCTGTATAGACCAGGCTGGAATTCACCACCAAAAGCTGCGAGACGGAGATCTGGGTCGTTGGTAGCAACGTGGGCGAGAGGGTTGCCGCCATAGTCGTATGGTACCCTTTGCTTGGGTATTCCTGCACCGTTGACTGCCGCGTGATCGGTCGCGCTGGTGCCATTGGTGTTCTTCTCGAAACTCGGGCCACGCTATTAAGACGGTTAGATTTGGTACATATGTTTGGCGCATTCGAGAAACATACCATGGTGTCGTTGTGCTCACGAGCGGTCGCCATGATGTCTGCTATGATTGACAGGTGCTTGACGTGTTCCGGTCCGGACTAACTCAAGACGGGTTCAACGGGGGGAGAGTCTGGGGAAGGAGAAGTCAAGCCGATTCTGGGGGAGCGGAGAGACTGATATATGTCCAGAACAGATCAGACCTCGCAGGGGAAGCATGGTCCATCTACGTGTGCCATGAGCCGTCGTCCCATACTGGTGCTAGTCCCGCGACTAAGGCTAGGTAATTAGAATTCCAAACAGGTGCTAAAGCGGACCACTCATGGCAGTTCCCCATAGACGCCTCTCCATGCCGGGTAAAAGGACAGCATGCGTCTCCACTGCGAATCAATCAACTGAGGGCACGGTGGACGGACGAACGACAATCAGTCGACCCCAAGCCACCATGCGCCGTGTGATCGGCGCCAAAGCTGCCTTAGCGAGGCCGGATGGACACCGACAATGAGGATGGCAGGTGGTGCGCCAACCGATCCAGCAGTATTCTGTCTTGCTCAGGCGGGCTCAGCTGCCGCGATGACGCGGAGAAATAAGATGCGCTGCTCGAATTCCCAAGTACAGATCGCCGACCAAGTCCCAAGCATTACATCATCGTCTCTTGTGACCATGACACATCAGCTTCCTTCGAGTGTTTTGATCGCGAACACGGCAGAAGAAGCCTGGGATTTCGAAACTTCGTATAGCACACAGACCGCTATCGATCTCTGCATGTTAGCGGTCTGACTGCATGTGTACCCTTGAGGAGGGCCCCCTGCGAGAAACGTGTGTGGGAGTGGAGCTCCAGTCAGTGCGCCAACGCTCAATTTGCTCGGAGTAGTTAAAACGCGAGGTCGGGCGTTCTGACATGTACGCGAGCCTCCCAGGCGCATTCTGCCCGTTGGACTGGGATGCCGGATATCGCGGGTGCGATATGGTGACACGATATATGAACGCAGCTCTTCTTTTGGCCTTTGCGTGGTTGTTGGATGATGCCTCAGTTGGCATTGCACTGCAAACAGGCACACGGCGTCCTGTTGGTGTAGAAGCAATTTACTGGGGCGTGCTTTGAAATTCAAGATCGTCAAAGGCCGCGGAGGAAACGGGATGATGGCCTTGTGCATGAGGTAAGGCGGCTAAGCTTTGTCCAAGAGCCTCGGCATAAGCCCCCGGCATCTTCCAATATCATGACATAACAAAACTCTAGCAAAGGCTGCGAAAATGCGCCGTCGCAACGGCTCGCGCAGTCGCCGAATATTTGAATTAGAAGTGCGTTCTGGAGAAACGACGAACACAAAAAGTCTGTCCATCAATTGTGGGATCGATAGTGCTAGCGTAGCGTGCTGCCGCCATGTCCTGGCCGTCCGGGGCTGCGTGGGGCCCCCTAGTGGAGCAGCAGCTCACCACCCATCCTAGAGGTGCGGTTGAGACGCAGGTTGGCTGTTGCACGTCCTCGGTCCAGCGGGAACACATGTCAAGTCATTTCCACCTGCACCCTGCCGTTCCGTGTCTGCTGTATCCGCGACAGAAGTGGTGTGTATGCCAGACATGGTGGTTGATGCCGTCTCAGAGCTTTTTGCTGTTCCGGGAAGGTACACATGGATTGTCCTCGCAGTGCCTTTGTTGTCAAAGATAGCTGAGGTCGCGCGAGAGGATGGAAACAAAGATCCAACAACATTGATGTGTAAGGGCTTCCACGACAACGGATCACTCCAGGCATCCATGTCAATTGCGTGAGACAGTGAGATGGCGCAATTGCGTGGCACTTTAGGCTAATGAAGCACTGTAAAGGTGCATCTGTAATGTTTGTGGTGGCATTGCTTGGAGTGCTTCGTGCCTGCCACCACCCCATACAAGAAAAAAGCAGAACAGGCGTAGAGCCTACATCGACGCCAGGTCACCTATCTTGTAGGTTTTTATGTTAATGTAGGCTGCAGGCCTGTTCGGTCTTTTCCTTGGTCGACGTGCCACCGCGCCACCGCGCTTGGTTGCCGTCTCAAAGATATGCCCTGCTCTCATTGCGAAACCCGCATGTACTACTCACATGCATATTGTACAAGCTCTCTAGAATAGTAATCATTTTGCCTAATACATAGAGTGCGTTCTATTGCTTGTAATTTATGTTGGGTGTTCCGAGTTTCGCGACAATATTGATCTAGGTATACCGCCGTCGAGGCGCGTTGTGGTACCTGCATTAAACAAGCAAGCTCCTCGTGTATTGCACGAGACAAGAGACAGGTCAGTCTTGCCATAGAGCCGCATCTATACGACAGAAAGTTAATGAGTGCTGTTATGTCGTGTCTATGTTTGCTTGAGGTGATCGGCTACGGCTCCGCCGCAGTGCCAGAAGGTTTCGGAGACGAGGAAGAAGGGTCCACCCAGATTGTGGAGAGACAAGATCTGGGGACTCCACTTCGACCCTGCGTAAGAGCGTGCCAGGAGTCAGGAGAGTCTGGGAAAGCGGAAAGACAGTCTGGTTACCCGCCAGTTACCGAGGGGCCAAGTGGTTTCCGCGGTCCTCCGGCACGCTGCTATCCATACACCGGCCGGGAGTCGCGGGTGTCTTTTCGCCGAGAACTGACGAGTCTCAGCATCCATTCCCAGTAGCCATCAGGTAACTTGACAAGCGTATGTGTGAGGAGGTACATAAGTCCAATGTTGTTTGTTGTTGCACCCTATTTAAGGGAAAAACCGAACACCCTAGAGCCTATATTAGGATAAAAACTTGCGAAGTTAGTAGCCTAATAGCGACGTAGGCTCCTAGGTGTTTAGTTTTTCTCTTGTATAGGGTGGTTGTTTCAACTTGTTGCTGAGGTTTGGCTAAAGCAGCAGCGAGCCTTGGAGGCTCCAAGGCTGACCATAACCATACACCTCAAGCTGTCTGGCTGACGCCAACTTACCTATGACGTTTTTGTGGTTGCTAGACAACTATTACGCCTCGAAGCATGGCTTTTGAGGTCGAAAAGACGAGAGGACGTCGCAACAAAGAGGACATGGGCAGAGAGGTGGCGTTTCTTGTCCCTCTTTGCCGGCTTGTCACCTGCTTGGCGCATCTCGCTACCAACACAGACACCGGCAAGCAAAGGAGGGCCGAATACGGTGTCAAAGTTACCGAGCGCGTTATCGGGAACATCAAGTCGCGCCTTGAAGCTGGTGCGCGATGTTTGGTTTGGTGGTGAGGCGCGTCTCCGGGCGGAAAGCTGGCTACGTAATGGGTTGGCGATCGATAGGTAGCGCGGGGAAGCTCCAAGCTCCAAGCTGCCTGCCCAGGTGTACTCGGGGTTTAGGCAGACACACGCTCGACGCGTGCCCAGGTGAGGAAGTTATAACCTGAACACGCCAAATCATTCACATCACACACAGTCTGTCCTGCCCATCATGTCCGACAAGACGACGTCCCAGGAGGACATGGCCGCCCTCTCTTACTTCGACCACTCGTCGGGCAAGCGCATCAACACCGATGTCGTCCTCATCGAGGCAATCCGATCGCAGTACCCCAACCTCGACCTCACCGTCGCGCCCCAGGGACGGCTGAACCTCCTCGCATACGCATCCGCTGGCTTCGCAAAAGTCACGCCCCTCGAAGACTCGGTCACGGATCCCGTCTACGGCCCTGGAGTCAAGTGGCGCTCCTATGCTCCCCCAAGCCACAGGCTCGACCCCAGTCCTGGCTACATGGTCGAACGTGTCATCTTTGGCAAGTACATGTACAAGTGGAAAGACCAGGAGGCGATCCTATACATTGCCGAAGGTCGCGACGGAGGGTCGTATTACCCAAGCCCGACGCTGCACTATGTCCTCTCCAACGCGTCGCACAAGGTGGATGAGTTGATCAAGGACGCGACAAAGTGGGGTAGCGAACTGCACAACGAGGTCTGGGTGTTTGACGGTGGCTACTGGCAGAAGAGCGCGGAGCTGTACCGTTCCGTGCAGAAGAGTACATGGGACTCCGTCATCCTCGACGAGGACATGAAGAAGGCGCTCATCGCCGATGTGGAGAACTTCTTCGATGGCAGACAGACATACGAAGACCTGAAGGTGCCATGGAAGCGCGGTGTCATCTACTACGGACCCCCCGGAAACGGCAAGACCATCAGTATCAAGGCCATGATGCACAGCCTTTACCAGCGCGGCAAGGAAGGCGACTCCAGACTCGCCGTCCCCACCCTCTACGTCCGCACCCTGACTTCTTTCGGTGGACCTGAGTACTCGTTAGCGCAGATCTTTGGCAAGGCTCGCGAGCAGGCGCCCTGCTACCTTGTCTTTGAGGATTTGGATTCAATCGTCAGCGACCATGTACGATCATACTTCCTCAATGAGGTAGATGGTCTAAAGTCCAATGATGGCATATTGATGGTCGGTTCCACAAATCACCTAGACAGGTTGGACCCAGGAATTGCAAAGAGGCCTAGCCGCTTCGATCGCAAGTACTACTTCCCAAACCCTGACTATGATCAGCGCATGCAATACGCAAAGTTCTGGCAGGGAAAGCTCAAAGACAACAAGGATCTCGACTTCCCCGACGAGCTCTGTGGAAAGATTGCCGAGATTACGCCCAAGTTCTCTTTTGCCTACATGCAGGAGGCTTTCGTTGCGTCGCTCCTTGCTATTGCCGCTCGGGGTGGTAAGAACGTCGAGGAGGCCGACCGCGATGCAAAGAGGTGGGCAGGCCCCCAGGATCCGATGAAATCGACCACCGGCACTCTGCATACCAACTTCGCACGGAGACTGCCCTTTGGCGACATATGCGACCCTGCTTCGGAGCCAGACTCTGATCTTGACAAGCTAGAGCTGTGGCAAGAGATGAAGAAGCAGGTCAAGATCCTGCGCGAGGAGATGGATGAGAAGAACCGCAAAAATGATTGGGAACTGCCTAGTCGGTCAAAGGCAGCGACTCTTCGACCAAACCCGACTCAGTTCAGAGATGAGCTGGACGCCATTTTGCATGGAGGTGAAGAGAGACGCCCCAAGCATCCGCACCCAGAATTCGAGTACCTAGCCAGTCAGACTAGGTTTGAGTAGTGACCGCTTAGTCGGTATTACACAAGGCAGTATGGCGTTTTGGCGTGACAGTAGCTAGCTTTTAGCCTATCATGAAATATCCACAAAGAATTAGCGATTCATAGAGTTGACTGGGACTATATGTTACAACAACAACAACCTTGAGCAATACCCCTTTGGTGTACTTCCATGTTCTCTACCGTGATGTACAATTGCCTCTCTGGTTGGTAATAGTGCAACGAAAATCTAATCGCCATGGGTAGCCGCCTCCTCCATAGCCAGCACGGCATTCTCCAGCTCCCTAATCCTCTGCCCCACCCTCCTCTTCACTTCATCTGCGACCGGCCTATCTTCACCTTCAACAACCCCTTTGTAGTACTCGAGCAGTCTATCCAGCTCTTCCCTCGCTGCAGCCCGGTCGTCAGGCGCATACGTTGTGTTCTTCTCGCTCTCCTCAGACGCGATCTCAAACTCGTCTTTGGCCGTGCCGTAGAGTTCTTGTATCTCCTCGATCGCTTCCTCAACCGCTTGTTGTGCCTCTGGAGACAGCGAGGATGGGGCTGACGACGTGGCGGATGCGAACTTAGCGCGTGGCGTTGAAGTGAATGTGCGGACGGCGGAGAGGGTGTTGTAGGGTGTGGTGAAGCGCGTCCATTGGTTTGGCGCTGCTAGGATGGATGTGTTGCGTGCTTGGTATGGTGGAGGTGGGGACGGCGACCGTGAGCGCTGTTGTGTGTAGGTTTGGTAGGAGAACTGTTGCGTGGCCGGGTAGGACGTCCGTTGCGCTGCTATTGCGCTTGCACGGAGCGTCGTCTGGCGGAGGAGAGTGCGGATGGGCGCGGCGCCGGATGCCATCTTCGGGGAGGACTGTCTGTGGTATGAGGCGCGAAATTGGCGCGGCACGGAGCTTTGGGCTACATTGCGCAGCGAAGGCGCTTTGGTGAAGAGCGTGTGCGACATTGTGGGTGGTGGATGGTGGGTTGGTGAGATGGGGCTGTGGTGAGCCTGAGGTTCACCGGAGTTAAGCCTGTCATGCGGACATGACGGTACCACCCAACACCATTCTTTTACTACCCATCCATAGGTACCTCGGGTTTCTTGACAGTATGTTGAGATCCAGAAGTTTACATCACCATCAGATTTTACGGGTGTCTCGTATGATGCGGTCGTCGACTGCAAATCCGAATAACACTCTATAAAGCTGAGAGATGCTACACGGCTACGACGTGGTATAGAATTACAGATCTAGGTAGGTAGTTTCTACGCGTGGAGACACAAAACATTTGAGTAGATGTAAACAAGAGGTTCCCGTGTCACGTAGAAGAAATGGTAAGTGTGGCAGCTTCCTCTATATTAATGGCCATCGCGAATTGCACCGCGAAGCATGCTCTCACTCCCATTACACAATGTACCTATCTATGAATATCTCGAGAGACAATGTTCCCGGACCGCACATGGTACTGGTCTACGAGCAAACCTAAGATGATAGCACGATGGAGCTTGTTGTTACCTAGAGTGCATCCCAAGTACGCCGGTGTACCAGATCCTGGAGCTACACACACTGCATGCTGCCTCGACGAGCACAAGATCTAATACAGTTGGCATCTCTCAAATATATAACACAGCCTACCCATGATTATATTCTCTGTACCCGGGTATACAAAGAACAAAAGGAAGCAAAGTTGAGCAAAAAAGAAGTATTGAAGGTCGTGCCCGGGTTCTTCTCAACGTTAGGAACAGGTCTTGTGATCACAGCAGAGGAAATGTCTTACCGAACCGGGGTTATCAGAATATTGATGAAGTCAAAATCTGAAGTGATAACCACTACCTAGAATCGAATGAGCGCATGCTCCATGATGTTACGATAGTGGATCAACGTACACTACACAACCTGTGGATGCTTCAAATGGTGCAATATGACAAGTGTCTCGGTTACATCGTCTATAAAGCAACCAACGTGCTACTCAGGCTGCACTCGATTAATCCGACGTTTTTGTCTGTATCATTTTTAAACGAACAGCTGCCCCGTCAAGAAACATGACGCCTAGACTTGAACAAGCCCACAAAGTGGTGGGGCATCATCTTCGCAAAAGTCAAAAAAGAGGGGTCCAAGTCACCGATTTCGGCAAACTTCTCACTAATGTCCAGGACGCCAGGAACGTCGTACAGGGTATATAAAAAGTACAAAACATGCGTTATATGCGCGTATCCATTAGATTCAAGCAAGGCCAGAATTGACCCAGGGCAAGAGGTGATGTTCGACGTGTTGGTGATGGCAAAATTGCAAAAAGGGAAGTCCACAACCACACGTCTAGGACAGCTGTAGAAGCACTCTAAAAAGCCAAAAAGAATGATGCAATAGCTCATACGAGCGGGGAGGATCGAACTCCCGACCTTCTGCGTAACTTTACATTTAGAATGTAAAGCAGACATCATAACCACTAGTTGAACGTTAGAAAGGCAAGAGAGAATTGGACAAGAGAACGAACCTAGACTACGCTCGCTTGAGAGACGATTGATGGAAAACCTTCAGTTTAATACGTTAATATACAGTAGATCAGATCCCTGGAGCTGCTGACTGGGTCATCAGGCAAACGCAGCCCCTGCGCGGGACTGAGGAATGGCGGCAGCGGGGTTGGTGGGGTTAGTGTCAAATTCGCTTCTTTGCAATTCGTCGTAATGTCCGCCTTATACGAGGAAGAAACTGAACCGCCACTCTACTGTCTACATTACCTTAGGGAGTATATAAACTTTAACCTCCATAGTAATGTAGACAGTAGAGTATCTATTTAGTCAAAATTTACACACTCCCGAAGGCAATGTAGACAGCAGAGTGGCTATTTAGTTAAGGTTTATGGCTTCCCTAAGGCAATGTAAACAGTAGAGTGGCTATTTAGTTGAAGTTTGTATATCCCCTAAGACAATGTAGACAGTAAAGCAGCTATTCAATTTCTTCCTTGTATAAGGTATGTCCAAGTACATGCTACCTAGGTACCACGCTCTCACTTTGTGAACATGTGTTACTCACACTACTTCTCGTTCTCTAGAGCTAGAGCTTGTTGTTCTCACACCACCTGCACCAATGCTGCGGCACTTATTGCCGCTTTCCACAATACTCAAACCAGACCGCGGAGGTACTCATTGTCTTGAGCCTGGGAAGCTTTATGTAGAAAAATAGAGAAACGGTGATAAACTGTCATGTATCTTGTATTATGCTTTATTACTTGAAATTCGATCAAGTCTGAGAGATTTCTGCACATGTGCAGAGATAGATCGTGTAGAATTTGTATCATATGTTTGGCTAGAATTAATGACGAATATGAAAGGGGTATACTACCGTTATCTGGCCAGCGCGTGATCCCATTGCTGACACCTGTACGCCTCGCTATACAACAATGCTAAGGAACCTATGCTGCCCACAATGACCGTGCTATGCGCCATCCAACTACCTTCACACTCCATTCTTACCACCACCGCCTCAAATTCCTTCCACTGGTCGCGCACTGCAGGCAATGCCTCGTCGATGACACAACCGCACAAGTCCCACATACATTTCGCCCGCAATCATTGCACGCAAAAGGACTATGCGCCACGGCTCCGCCCATGTCCGTATCCATGTCTACATCCATATCTTCTCGCTCGCTATGTAATGGTGTATCGCAGTCTTCGCATCGGGGCACTTGTGACGAAGCTTGGTGCTGCTGCACAGGCATTGAGAAGATGGGTTGAACAGGCGGCGCGGGTAGCTGTTTCCAGAAAGAATGCAGCGTAGACTTTTGTGGTTTCGACGAGGCCAAAGTTGATGGCTGGTGTGTTGGAAGAGCGTCGGACGGGATGGGCGCGGCCTCTGGATGTTCACGTTGCGCGGCGAAGAGCATGTTCAGCGTGTTTTCTGGGATATGATTAGCAACTAGAAGCTCGAACCACCGAGTCATCAAGGCTTACTGTGTATCGCTTGCTCGTCGGGTCTGTTGTCGCGAACCCGCTTCTGTGTGCGGTTGCCCCAATCGTTGCTCTTGACTCGACTCGCGCTTATGAAGTCCCAGCCATTGGATCTCGAGGTCGCATGTGCATGTGTATCCATCATCTTGTCATAGCCCTTGGTGAAAGACATGGGCGATTGCGCATCCGGTGTGGAGACGGCGCCGAAGCTGGAGATGGAGAGCGGCGATTCGTCGGAGGAGTGCTTGCGCTTGAGGCCCATGGCTGCGGATTGAAGTGTTGACGGGTTGCGATAAATGATGGGGTATTATTCGTGGTGTGTGGATGGCAGCAAATGTTTGTTTGCGGGTTCATAGAGCGATATGCGGAAGGGAGAGCGAGATGGGATGAAACGGGGAGTGATGGTGCTAAGTGGCTGGCCTGGGAGACGCGAATTGTCGGCGCGAGCGCGTCGCGTGATGGCAGGTCGGGATCGCAATTGCATCACTACCCTCCGACCGGGCACCTGGGCAACATCACCGAACATCCACACGTGACCTGCTGTGCACACGTTGCAGCAGGCGTCATGGAGCATGGCTTGGTGGGCTTTTGTATCTGGCGTCTAGAGATGTCCCTCGCACATTCCCAGCGGCGATGATGGCAGGCAAAGGCATTACGTCGGCTGTACGAAGGTCGCGCTCAGCTTACCCCACTGCCCCTCACGCTCCCAACACCAACTACTCGATACAACGTCACGATACTAGCTCCCAAGATCTCTAGCAGCGCATCCCGCTCCGTCGCACAATACCCGAAACCCAACATGGTCACCCGCAAAGCCACCCACGCCGGCTCCTGGTATACGGACAACAAACAGCTCCTATCGCAGCAACTCGACGGCTGGCTCGCAGACGTTCCCGCTACCACCACGCCTATCGGCTCCGTTTCCTCACAGCAGGGCCAAGTCTCAATACCGACGCCGGATGCGCGAGCCATCATCGCCCCGTAGGCTCCCTGAAGAAGCTATAGAGAACATGAGGCTCATGGACATGCAGGCATGCCGGATACTCGTACTCAGGGCCTGCTGCTGCATGGGCCTACAAGAGCGCTGACTGGGCAAATGCGTGGGTGCAAGACTATGAAGCGAATGTTTAGTGATATACTGACGGCTTATAGCAAACGTGTTTTCCTCCTCGGCCCCTCCCACCACTACTATCTCGCTGGCGCTGCGACAACAGGCTGCGACAAGTACCGTACACCGCTCGGCGACCTCACGATAGACAGAGACCTGGTGGAGGAGATACAGCAAGACTGGGATCTGGAAATCATGTCAAAGGGAACCGACGAGGACGAACACAGCTTAGAGATGCACCTGCCCTACATTTACAAGATGTTGTCGCTCAAGAACACGAGCTTCCAGAACGACTCGAAATCTGTTCCTCTGGTTCCTATCATGGTCGGCAATACCGAGGCAGCCCTCGAAGCGTACTATGGTTCTATGCTCGCTCCCTACCTCTTCGATCCCCACAATGTCTTCGTCATCTCATCTGACTTCTGTCACTGGGGGTCCCGATTCCGTTACACGTACTACCAGCCGCCCGACGGTTCAGCGGCAACCCACCTGAAGTCAAGCTCTGCTGTGCCGAGCGACTACCCCATACACGAAAGCATTGCCGCTGTCGATCACGAGAGTATCGACGCTGTAGAGAGTAGGTCACATAAACAATTCTTAGACCAGCTCAAGAAGACGGGCAACACCGTGTGCGGAAGACATCCGATCGGCCTGTTCATGGCCGCGGTAGAGAAGGCAGGTGAGCTACGCGAATTAAGTGAAGGAAAGGGCACGTTCAAGTTCCTGCGATATGAGAGGAGCAGTCTGGTGGAGGGTGTGCAGCATAGCAGTGTATCGTACTGCAGTGCTTTCGCAGTGCTGTAGGGGCAGTTCATTTGTACAGTATGATGGGCCTTTCATAGTGAAAGATAGTAATACAGACAACAACCAACGACTACGATGCCGCTGAACAACATGACTGAGCGCTGTAACGCCGATCCATGCAACCAAATCTATCTCATCGCAAAAATCGAGAAGGCCCCCCAAAACATACATCAAGATGGCCGTGGCTTCGGCATAGCACTGTGCTTTACACTCCACGGCTGCATGCTTCTCCTCGCGCCCAGTGTCTTCCTCTGTGCCGACTGGTTTTGTACCTGACTCATCGATGTTGTATGAAACGTCGACGCCGGACGGAAACCAGCTGCCGAAGTGAAAGACGAAGAGGCTTGCTTCATTGGACTTGCCGGTTCTCCGAGCTCTTTCTCTGCTTGGTATGTATTCTCCGCCTCAGGTTTAGGCGGTGAGCTGGACAAAAGAACGTACCGCGTGGTCTCCATCCCAGGTTCTGGCTCCGCACGTTTTGGCTTGGTGAGGATAGGTCGGGTTGTAACTTTGTGACTGGGTATCGAAAGGGGCTGGAATGGACGTGGTGGACGTGAGACGGCGGCCTGAGTGTTGGAGATATCGTAGAGTGGAGTATTGGTTGCAAAAGAAGACTGCGAGCGTTGTAAAGACGGCGCGTCGAAAGATGGCGGTGGTTCGGTTTCCTCAGACAGCGTGCTGTTTGATCGCTTGAAGAAACTCGTAATGGAACCTTGACCAGTTGCACGTGGCTTGACAACTTTTGCGCGCGCAGGCTTTGCTTCTGCCTTCTTCGCATCCTTGTAGACTTCTCTACCAGCCTCGACGTATTGAGCACTGGCTAGAGTACGAATCCGCTCTGCTTCTCTTTGCATTGCTTGTAGGTCTCCAAGATCTCGTGCGCTAGTGAACCCGGCTTTTACACTCTGCATCGTGGTTGTCGCTGTCGAGAAAGCAGACGTGCGGTTCATCGTAGATGCTACTGAGTCTTTAGACAGAGAGCTTGACGATTCCAACTTACGCCGCTTGAAAGATTGGTCTAGCCCAGCACCGTTGTTTTTGCCACCGTATGCGGCCCATGTTGGGTCATCTCCGTCAATCTCCTCCCGAGTCGTTGGGTACTGGTCATCCTCTGGACGTTCCAACAAGCAGAGAGCTGTCTTCATATCTTCAGATGATGGGCATTCTCTGCGAAGGATGCGGGCTAACTCTAGTACGGTACTCCTCTTAAATGCAAGATCTGGCCCTCTATTGCTGAAAAACTTTTGGATTTTCCGATCCGATATGAATCTCGAAAGTGTCGTCTGCTCCTGGCCCGACTGTTTGACTGGGCAACTTAAGTACAGTAAGCCTTGTGCTCGAGTCATGCCAACATATAGCAAGCGCCGTTCTTCGTCGTGATCGTCCGCTCGGGAATGGGGTATGGATCCGTCGTAAACAGCAGGCATGAAGACCACAGGCCATTCAAGACCCTTTGCTGCGTGAATGGTGGAGATGGTGACCTGGTCTAGTTCACTGCCCTCCTGGTCTGCCGCGCTCGAGAGGGTGACATTGGCTAGAAACTTGGACAAGATATCAGCTGCAGTGTCGTGCCGCTGTTCGAGGCCTTCTACTGCTGGCAAGGCGTCGTCAGAGATCTCTTCTCCATTGGCGACTGCTGTAGCCATTTGTGTCGCCTGATTCACCAGCTCCTCCACGTTGGCCCATCGATCTTGCCAGTTCTCCTTGTGCGCCTGCTTGAGATAGGACTGGAAAGAAATCTTGGTTGTGACGTGCGATATAAGACCTAGTAGGTTGCAGTCTTCGCCTTTAGCAGGAAGAAGCTTCTCGCGAGAGGTGATGATAACATTGACGAACTGCTCAATACCCTTCTGCGCCTGGGCGGACACTTTGCTTTCCGGCTTTCTCCTGCCTTGAGCCACGTCAAGCACTAACTTCCACAAGGTCACTTTCCTGATCTCTGCTTCTTCGAGAAGGGCCTTGACAGTAGTATCGCCGACCTTCCGAGAAGGTACGTTGATGACACGCGCTACCGCATCGTTGTGTTCAGGCTGGCTTATCACACGGAGGTAGTCCAAGATAATTTTGATTTCCGCACGGTCGAAGAATTTCGTGCCAGCGACCATGCGATACGGAATTCCAGCTTGTCCGAGCGCTCTCTCAATCTGTAGTGTGAGTGGAGACGATCGCACAAGTATAGCGTAGTCATTGAAGCTCAACAGCCCGGCTGTAAGCGTTTTGGTCCGGTGTATCTCTTCAACGATCCATTTTGCCTCCACATTCGCCGATATAAGATGGCGAAGAGTGGGTTGCTCGCCGACACCGTGGGTAGCAATCAGCGACTTCTGTGGCCGACTCTCATCCTGCTCTATGACAGCCATAGCGGAGCTTAGGATGCATCCCGAAGATCGATAGTTGTTCTCCAAATTGATCACAACTGATTCTGGGTAATCAGTGCGCATCCGCAGCAAATTCTTGATCTCGGCTGATCGGAAGCTGTATATGCTCTGGTCCGGATCACCGACGATGGTAATACGTCTTGTTTTCTGAGATAACAATCTCATCAACTCATACTGGATGTTGTTGGTATCCTGATACTCGTCAATGAGTACAGCCTGTATCGTCGAGACACAAGATGGTGATTTTCTTAACAGATCCACACAGCGGACGAGGAGGTCGTCATAGTCGAGGAGATTTGAGGCGGCTAAGTGTTCCTGGTAGGACGAATATACCATGGCAAACTCGTTATCGTTGACATTCTTAGCTGTCCTGCGAAAGTCGTCGGCCGTGACGCCCTTGGCTTTCAACTTGGAGATCCTGGAGCGAGCATGGCCAGGCTCTACTGTGTACTGATGGCGCGTAACGATACGCTTCAATATTGCTGTGCTGTCGCTAGTATCCGCGATGCCAAAGTTCTTATCAATCCCAATCTCTTGACCGTACCGAGACAGGAAGCGACGCGCGACCGAATGGAAGGTACCCAGAATCAGTTTCGCCTCAAGTTTCTCTCCAACAAAACCCTTGATTCTTTCCTTCATCTCCCGTGCGGCCTTGATGGTGAACGTGCATACGATGATGTTCCATGGTTGTAGTCGCTCGTGATTGATGTGGTACGCGACGCGTGCTGTAAGTGTTTTGGTCTTGCCTGACCCCGGCGGCGCGAGCACTTGAACAACATTGGCGGGACTTGTCACCGCGCTCTTCTGCGCGTCGTTAAGCCCTTCCAACAATGCGTCCATGACGGTTTGTGCGAAAGATGACGTCTCATTGAGGGCGGGCTCAAGTCGTGTGGCGTGAAGGGACTCAGAAACGCGCTAGGAACACGCTGCACGTGTCGATAAGATAAGCCACTCCCTAGGTATAGCCGAAGAACGGCACCCTTCATGGCTCACAGCAACGCTTAAACTGAGTCTTGAGTGCCTAAGACCAAAAGCTGAGCTAAACCTGTTAGTTCGAAAAGCGTAACACTTCCGCTGGGCTCTGCGCCGGCGGAATCTCCGTGGTGAGAGCGTCAGTCTGCCAAGTACTAATTTCTCGTATGTTTCCCCGCAAATGCGGAGGATGTACCCTTACTCGGACAGCTTTTATCCGACAACCCGGCGAGAAGTGACGATGATCATCGGATTTTGGCTTACATTGAGCAAGCCTACCGACGGGCATTGAGGCTCTTCCCAGTTAGCTGTTCACGATGGCTGTACCGAGAAGTATAAAGGTCCGAATGTACCCAGTGTCTATGCCACACCCCGCAAGGCATCACTCAATTCACTGACCATGCTGGGACTGCGCGTTTTACTTGGCACAGCATTTGCTGGCGCTGTCGTTTCGGCAGGATACTTGCCCGAAGTTTCGAGCCACACTGCTTTCCGGTACAATGCGCGTCGACAGGCAACGAACAGCACGTCTCCATCTTTCAACGGTCCGTACAGTACCAGAGGCCGAGATATTGTTGATAGCAATGGCGAAAAGACGACTTGGGCTGGTGTTAACTGGCCAATGAGTGGTATGTATCAAGTTCAGACTCATGCCCCACTGCAAGAAACTGAGATCCTCTGTAGGCGAGACTATGGTTCCTGAAGGACTTGAGTGGGCGTCAGCGGAAGAGATTCTTGATGACATCGCGGGTGTTGGCTTCAACTACATCCGCATGGGCTACGCCATTGAGATGATTGACCAAGTCTACGATCGAAACGGCGTTGACGTGCCACTCGAGGTTGGCCTCATCAACGCCCTGGGCTATGTGAACGGCACCAAAGTAACCAACGAGATCATCGAGAAGAACCCTGGTTGGACAGCTCAGACCACTCGATTCGAGATCTGGAGCGACATCGCACGCATCGCTGCTACCAAAGGCATTTTCATCAGCCCAGATGTGCACACAGGCAAAGCGCAGTGGTGCTGCTCACACATCGACGGTACCGCATGGTTCGACGACCTTGAGTTCAACGCAACGCACTGGCGCCGCGGTCTTTCCTATGTTGCCAATTGGGCAAAGGATCACCCAAACGTAGTTAGTATGTCTCTTCGCAACGAGCTGCGCGAATCTTGGAACGTCACGGATCTCTATTACAACTGGGACACTCTCGTCGGCAATATGACCGCTGGCGCTGACGCAATCCACGAGGCCAACCCTGATCTTCTCATCCTCTGGGGAGGTATGCAGTACGGGCAAGATCTGTCAGCACTCACTAGCGGCAAGAACATTCTCACCGCTCCATGCTACAAGTGCACGGCGATTCGCGACGCCGCGAGGAGGGAGCCAGTGTACTTCAACCTCGACGATCACCCCTGGGCTGATAAGCTTGTCTGGGAACTCCATCTCTACAGCATGAGTGAGGACATCGACACGGGCACCTGCGACATCGTCAAGGCAAACTTCTACCGCAACGGCTTCAATGCTTTGGGCATTGATGCACCAGCCGCCTGCAACATTACGGGTGACTGCCCGAAGGCTGTGCGCGAGACACCAGTCATCCTAAGCGAGTTCGGTAGTGCGCAAGACGAGACACTCTTCAACAACACACTACAAAACTGCTTGAAGGAGTACACCATCGATAACGACATCAGCTGGATGATGTGGTCTATCGCTGGTTCGTACAGAATCAGATCGGGTGTTCAGGGTTTCCCAGATACGTGGGGTATGACAAACTACAACTGGACTGGTTGGAATTACGAGCGCGGTATTGAGGATTTCTGGAAACCATGGGTTCAAGCAATGAACACAACCAAGATTCGTTAGTTATCCGTATCTACTGACAGCAAGTGCATAGACAATATTACTATCGAAAGACGCATTGAAAACAACCAGTATCTGACATGAACTACCGTCCTTCCCGCCTCACACACAATTGAATTGATCACCTTTTCTCCAGCCTCGATTCTTGGTTCTCACATGCTGGATTCAGCCAGGAGCGCGAGCAAGAGACAACAGAGAGCGGAGCCGGCTTCGGTGGAACAAGTAGTAGGGCACGGCAGAGGCACCTTATCTAAGGAAAAAACTAAACACCTTAGAGCCTACGTTAACGTAAGGTTACCTACTTTATACATCATGATCTTCATGTAGGCTGCAGACCTGTTTAGCTTCTTGCTTGTCTAAGGTGGAGGCTCGGGAATCTATGAGTGTGCAGTTTGACAGGTGATTGCGCGCATGATCGCGACTTATTGTTCATTGGAACATCATTATGTTAAGGCGGCATGAATCGAATGCTCTTGTCACCTGTTACTAGAATGCCGCACCGAAGCTAAGTGCGCCCAAAACGGCACCCATCCACAACTCCAGTTTACGCCTCCTCCCGGCTCCAGCCTCCTTGCTGGGGGTAGTAGCCAAACCGCCAGTTTGCTCACCAGGGCTTGCAGCATCAGTGGTAGTTGCTTCGAAGCCAGATCTTGGTACAACCATTGTAGTAGGCGCAACACGCACAGTGGCAATGACAGCAGTTCCGTCCGAAAAGACCGAGACCAAAGTGTTACCTTCGGCGTCAGTCGTTAATCCTACAAAGGTAGGGAAGAAGTTGCTCCCGATGTTGGTGCTAAGACCAGCCGTAAGCGTTAACGTCTGTGTTCCAAATACAAATTCGCCAATGGCTACTGCTGGCGCTGTTTGTGGTGGAGATATCATGTCCGTATTGCTCGCCATGCCAGAGTCGGGAGTGGTTGCTGGCTGGGCAAGCGCACTATCACCTCCATTATGGTTATTGATGGGCGCTACAGTTTGACCAGGGTTTTCTGTCGCAGGAGATGCGGGTTGAGCTGGCTGCACATTCGATGGTGCGCGCCCAATCTGAGAGACTATCTGCAGTAGGAGACTGTGCTGCTCTATCTGCTGTTGCGCCGATCCTGTAGCACCTGGTCCTTCTCCTATCGTGTTCGAAGCCCTAACTGTGCTCGGTCCTATGATGAGGCCCGGCTGTCCAGCACTGCCCTCGCTTTCTTGTTCGGTCCCCCATACGAGGACGCTGGTCTCGAGGTTGAGAATGGTCGGCCGAGTCGTCGTGACAGTCGTGGCGGTCGGAGTAAGTGTCACGAGGCGATCGGTAGCTGGACCCGTCAGTCCCCAACCTGTGGCAGACGGAAGAACAATCCATTGCAAGCCACCACAACTACCCGGATCGATAGAACAACAGCTGCTGGCGTCGAGAGTACACACTTCGACCTTCACGTCGACCCGATCTACAGAACTCTCGGTAGCAGTGGCATCGGACGGTTCTGTTATCTGCGCCGCGATCGATACGGTCGACTGTTGGGTGGGAGCAATCTCGGTGACGTTGGGTAAGAAAGAGGTCTCTGTTTGCAATTAGCGTGTATGCCCTCAAGTTGGTACGATGTTGGTTGCGCACGAGGGACAGCTGCTGCGGCGTTCGCTAGAAATAATAGCGTCAAGAGCTCTGGCGGAAGGTACATGTCGGTGCGGCGCTCCCTCATGCCGTCAATCTGGCATTGGTAAGGAGACAGCGAGAGCCTCCAGCGCCCTCAGACACTCAGGCCCCTTGCGTCCCGCCATGTTCTCGAAGTGAGTAAGTTCGCGCGCTGTGCCGCAGGGCAAGCCTCATCGTGGCTAGCCGAACGTCGACGAGCACGCCAAGCGCTGCCGGGCGTTGTCACAATCTCCGAAGTCTCATGCACCACGCTGCAACTTTACGACCAACGACAGCGACGGTTCAGCGATCCTCCAAGATTCACATCAGCACTAGGACCCATACCTGCCTTATATGGTGACGCTTCCAGGTGTTGTGCATGCACTATCGCGGCAGTGGCGGTACAAAGAACGCGTTGCCGCTGACCGACATCTGAGTCCCTCCGCCTCTCCAATGCACAAGCGTCTAGATGCAATTATACCACCAACGAGAAGGATCGAATTCAAGGGAACGCGAAGACGTCCATTCTTTTTTCAGCACGCTCGGATACACTACGCTCTAGAAGCATACGCAATGGCTCACACCCACACATTCTCGAACATACCTAGGTACCGTATTGTATACCTCCACGACAGACCTCTAATTGTTGATTGCGACCCATGAATCACGATTGATTTCGTATCTCGTGCCCTGTGTGATCCTGTAACCAGGCTGGTATAGCGCATGCATACTCAAGCGCTGCCTCCGTCTCTTCACACACGCAGACGTAGCAACTAACAGCCCAGTCCCCATCGTGCTGTCAGTACGTTTACGCCTTCACTAACCTAATGAAAGCCTAACACCCTAGAGCCTACATTAACGCTAAGTAACCTGCTTTGCAAGTTTCTATCTTTATGTAGTCTGTAGACCTGTTCGGTTTTTATCTTGTATACCTATGTAAGGCCAACCGCATGGCTTCTAATCTGACGTTTATGAGCCACGGTACTGTCTACATTCAATCAATCTAATTAATTTAACTACTACGCTAAAATCTGAACCTGCAGACAAGGCTATTTCGTGAGGAGCGCTAAGAGAAGCAACAGGAATAGCTGGAGAGAGAAAGGTACAAGAGTTGCGTAGGCAGTCGATGAGGCGATATGCCGAACGAAAAGGCAGCGAAGATCAATGAGAAACAGGGTGAAGGTTTTGGGTGACGTTATCTGTGTAGCTGGCCAACAATGGCACCTCCAAGGCAGCACACTTAGTCGTCAGGGTCACATGGGGAAGGTTCTCCATGCTCTTCAATCAGTGTGCGTCAACCGCCTGGTCAGTCTTTATTGCAGGCCTACTGGATTAGGAGACATCAATATCCGAATGACTACGACGTGCAAGTGCGCAACCGATGAGGTACCCACGAGAGCGAATAACCAGAGACATCAGCGGAGACATCGGGACAACATGGAGTTTTGCTATAGGCATCCAGCTCAACATCGGAGATTACCCGCTACGTTTTCGCACCTTAATTACACAAACCCAACGTTCACCGTCGTGTTTTCGGCCCCCACACCTCCACATTGTCACAGCCTCGTAGTGGCGACCGCACATTCAGCTGCCATGACCCTTCCACGATACACACTGCAGGGGCCCTTAGGATCATATACTTAGGCAACTCTGAAGACTCCATTCAAGCCTCAATGTTCTGGCGGTCAGGAACTCATCGGTAAATAATCGTTCACGCGGAGCACGCCGACAGTGGGCGCAGCCAATCAAATCCTGGAGCGGTTTGCACAAGCCACAATCGAGCCGCAGAAAAAGAGGCGGTGCACGTTGAAATTCATGGAGCCCATGCTAGCCAAACAAGGTGATTTCTAAGTCGTCTAGGCAGTTGAAACATTTCGTCAGATAATATAAGAGGGTTCTGGAGGACAGTGGGCTTACTTCTCCAGTCCTCACCTGTACGAATATAAGTGCCTGCAATCCATTGACATTGCAAAACGCATAACTTTCTCCTGAGCATTGTCATTACAATCATTCTATACCTACCAAATCACAGTCATCATCTCAAGGCCTGACTAATCAGCCGCACCAGGCAGCCGACTATGTCATACCTGCACCTAACGCGTACTCGCACCCGCGAGCGCACTCCAGAGTATGAATCTTACTACTCACGTCCTCTCGTTCATCACGACTCCAGCAAACACCGGCGGAGCATCACACTCTCAGATCTCGATGACGAAGATGGCCATGATGACTACCCCTACTCGTCCAACCATAAGCCAGTCAGGTCATCCCGCTCCCTAACAGTACGGGATCAGCCCTCTCAACTCGAGCGCTTCAACGTCTGGACTGACACTCGGCGCCCCCAAAACGATGCGGAAGACGAGAACAGACGCCGTAGCTACGACACACGACGTACGTACGAATACTCCTCAGACCGCGCCGCTTCTTCCGAGCCAGACGACCAAGCTTTCCGCCTCAGCATCAACGCTAGGTTCAGCCGTCCACACTCGTCGCACCATCACCATACTTTCTCGCTTCTCTCACCCTCATACGATCCTTTCCATCGTAGTGAGAAGTGGTGGGTGGATGAGCGTTGGGAGTCTCGTGAGCGGTCTACCTCACGGGAAAGGACCCGTACACGACGAGATAGCTTCTGGGGCGACTCTCCTTTCGAGGGGAAGGAGAAGGAGACCGAGCAGGGGAAGTGGAGAAGCTATCATAGGGTTGGCGGGAGAGAGGTGGAGAGGGAGAGCGTCAGACCGTTGAGTGGCTGGAGGAGAAGAAGGATTATCTTGGGTGACGACTAGGAAGAGCATCTGGTGATAGAAGAAGGTGCTTGATCCAAACAGTGCTTCTTAGTGTTATAGCCTTTACGTTGTTGTTGGGTTTAGACGGGTTTGATATACTTTAGGCGTCGCGATAGCCTGTTTTTGGGGGTTTGTTTGACCCGAGTAGCAAATGTGGCTAGAGGTGCTTCTGTACCCCGAATGATCTCTAATTAGTAGCTCAATGAGTGATGTGTGCAAGTATACGTTAGGATAAGAGCATGAGCAAGAGCTGGGTATCATCAAGGATGAAGTATGCATTTCCTGCACATATTGCAGGGATGATACTTTCGATGCGTTTGCGTCTGCACGATATTGGACTGCATTCATACCCGTACGACCAGCGCTCTCGAATGAGAAGTAATGCTAGTACAATAAATGAATGACACTAGTCACTCGCAAGACCGCCAGTTGACAGTGGGTCCTACGCAAGCCCAACCCATTGAGTAAAAGCATGGAGCATTCGTGCTGTCATTCGTATCGAAACGAGACAATAATATAAGACAAAAGCAGGTGACCCTAATCGTGGTCGTCTCCATTGGAGTGCCCGTGTGTCCAGGAACGCCAAGAATGCTCAACTG